CTTCAGTGGGTTGTTTTTCCTTCAGATCTGTTGGGAAGAGTAACCTGCAATTGCTGCTCTTTGGGTGAACTGATCTGTAAACAAAGACGCTGCGGCAGAGGGGTGCCTATTCAGTAGAACCTAATGGGGGAGTTTATGTAACAGAACAAAAATAAACGGAAACATCACTTCTAAACTGAGCTGTTATTTCTCCTGCAGAGTAATTATTAATCAATAAACCTTGTATCTGACAGGCGTGCTAAGTGCTCTGAGCTACCTTGCAGTCTGCTAGTAAACCAGCCTTGGAGAGAAAATGTCATTAACTCTAAACCACAATCTCCTCTGGCAAGTGTCTGAAAGCAGCATGGTCTCTTAGAGCTTTTGCTTCACCCATGCGTTAGCTGTTTCACACTGATAGGGTTTAATAGCACCATGCGGAGCTGTGAGTATTGTGCATCATTCAAGCCATAGTAGCTGGGTTGCACAGCGTTTGGGCCAAAACGGGTTTTCAGATGTTAGGTTGAAAGTCTTTCCAGTTGCTTATTTCTCCGGTAACATGTTTCAGATGGATTCTAATGCTGCAAGGAAAAGGTGAATGATTACTAGTAGAACAAGATGGGGTTTTTACCATTAAGCTATTTCATAGATGACACCTCTAAAAAATAGAGAGCACTGTTCTCCAGGGCATCTGTTACTGGATACTGATGAAGACAGGGCATGAGACATAGCTTTGATGTAAATTATAATTGCTCTGTTCCTGTGGAGCTACTCGCTCTGCTGTTAATGCACGAACAGAGGACGGTGCCAATCAAAATGCAACAACGCTGAAAGCCAAGACTGTTTTCAACAAGGAGCAGTAAGATACTGTAAGAAAGTTTTGGGATTTTCTTGCAAACAACGTGTTTCTTGAGATGCACCTGGCCTTCTTCAAGAGGACCTAGTTTTGGGCTATTTACTGGATGTATCACACTTCAACATTTTTCTTTCAAAACATGTTTTTAAAGTAGCAAAACAAAAACATTCTTCCTTGGACTCTTTAGGATAAAAAGTACTGTCTAAGGTATTTAAGTGCTGTCTACAAACAATATTCACCCTGGGGTACAGCAAAGTCTTGGAGCCTAAGTACTTGACTGTGGAATAAATGGAAAGATGTCCTTCTAAGGTCTTGCCTTTGGTCGCATGAAGAGGAAAAAGCAAAACCCAAACATGAACTCCTTTTGAAGTAGTCATTTTTAAAGGCAACCATGCCAGCATTGTTCCATCAAGAGACTTCAGAGAATAAAACCATTAGTGCTTTGTTGTTTACATCTCTGAAAACTGCAACTATAGGAAAGTTTTATTGTACCTGTTTCTCTTTCCGCATTCACAGTGCTGTATGCTGTATTATGGAAGAAGTGTAAGGGGCTAGTAACTTCCATCTCACAACAGCTCAGTAGTGATTAGCGGAGGAAATTTGCATGCAGATGCATCACGACTGAGGCTGCTTTATGCTGTTCAAATAACACACATGAGTTTTAGAGAACTAGCTTGAACAGCAAACTTGGGAAATCATTGAGTGCGTCTGCTCTAAGTGGTCTCCTCTCAGCACAGGCTGGAGAGGTCAGTAGGAGCATGCTGCGTTCCAGTAACTCATCACTCGCAAAACAATCCCTTTGAGTGTGCTATGAACTGGTGCAAGTTAAAACCCTGCTGACGCACTTTGCCATTTCTCTTCCTCCTGTGCACTCAGAACAAAATGTAGCATAGTTGGAGCTCTAGGCCCCAGTGTTCATTGTAACTGGGAATTTTACAGGCACTTTCAAGGGAACTGAGATTGAATATAAGAGAGCAACCTGGGATCTCTCTCTGTTAGCAAAAAATAATCTAACCAGTATCAGAAGCGGCTTCCTCCAAGTCAAAATGACATCTCATGCAAATCAATTTGTCACTGGCCCCATTCTCTGCAATAGAAGACAGAACTTCTGTGAAACTGAAATTGATTTTGGCACTTACTGCTGGATTGTAAACAAGCTCATACTAAAGTCTGTTTGGAATTAATTGCAAAAATGGCTATCTTTTCAAATAGCGAGTTCTTTGTACACACGCTTCAGCGTGAATGCAAAATACATGTTTGCACACAATCCCTCCCATGTCTTCTGCTGCAAAAATTCTCATTTCTCAAGTTTCCTTGAGAGCAGATGGGGGAAGCAGAAATATTTTTGTAGCTCTAGGTACTCCAGTGACTTAGGACAGCCAAGTTTCTTGTAGAGAATGGGCTGGGATTCTGTTCCTAGGTAAAGCAGTTCTGTATTAGGTGCTGTGCCTGTGTCACTGTGTTGGCAGAGGCCATGGTGCTGGTAACAGAGGACTCTTTCTCCTGGCTTATGCTGTCTTTCTAGGTACCCCGGCCAGCTTGCCTGCTTGCCTGAAAAATGGGGCTGGCACTGACAGCAGCTCTCTTTTCTCTTGGCTGTTTGTCATGGGGCTTTGTAAACATATTGAAGTTGGCTGAGAGTTTGAATTTTCGTATGTGGTGTTTACATAGTTATGCTGGTGAACCTTTGTAGTCTAGACATGGCCGGAGTTGTGCTGTGATTTCATGGAAGTTGCTGTTCTTCTCTGTGAAGACTTAGTAATAGAAATGCTCTTAAATACTGTGGTAGGTATTATTTCTATGTAAAGTGCTTTCAGGTTTCTAAAAGCCCCTCCAGTTCTGCTTTGCAGTAAAATTTAATTCTGCTCTGGAGGCTCCTAGACTGCATTGGTTTATATGTTGAGGCAAGCTGAAATTGGACAAACTTTTTAATTTTACAGTAAGTTTTGGCCTGAGTATGCTGGAGGTGGGAAAAGATTGTTGTCTTGTGCTCCAGAAAACACGGTGAGGAAAAACTAGCACCTCCTCAAACAACAGAAATTATGGAAGGACAAGTGAAACGAATAAACAGATCAAGGTCTTTCAGTGCCTATCATTTCTGTTTCTTCAGCCTCTGAGGATTAAGGACTTTCAGGTCACTTTTCAAGGCTGTAGCACTTGCACATGTAGGCAATATATTTTTGTAGCTTGCTGTCCTATCTTCATAGTGCCTGACTTTTCTACAAATGTCTCAGTGGGTGATTTTTTTGACAGTTCTATTTATTTATTGTCAGCCATTAGAAGATTAAACTCAAGAAGTTGACTAAAGTCTGTCTTGTCACATAAAGGCACTTAGAAGACAGGTCAGTTTTACTCCTGTTATAATCATGCGAACTTCCATTAATTTGTGTTACAATCCCTGGTTTGATCCAGGAATAAATTTGGTCTGTTCTGTTGACTGAGCATTTTCAGAGCATCAAATTACTCTGCAGCAGCAAACCCAACAAAACTTTCCAGCTCTGGAGAGAATGAAGACTGTTCTGTGTCACAAACAATGCTTGTCCTACAGAAGTTCTGAAATACTTCACGTCTTATCAATTCCCCAGCAAATGAGTGTTTGAAACACGACATTCTTTAAAATTATGCGTTAAAATTATGACAGTACTGTTTCCCAAACCACCTTACAAACATTTCCCATACTTAAAGGGATGCTTGAAAACATTAATTATTAAAGAGTCTGCAAAACTATTTTTTTTCTACTTGCAGCATGAAACAGTTCAAATATATTCAAAATGGATTTCTTTTTGTTAAGGTGTTCTGTTTGACTAAAGCACAACAGCACTGCAGTCGGGTTATGCAGGTATCCTGGTTTCGGCTGGGATAGAGTTAATTTTCTTCCTAGCAGCAGGCATAGTGCTGTGGTTTGGATTTAGTAGGAGAAGAATGTTGATAACACGCTGATGTTTTTAGTTGTTGCTGAGCACTGCTTATGCTAGTCAAGGACTTTTCAGCTTCCCATGCTCTGCCAGGTGCACAAGAAACTGGGAGGGGGCACAGCCAGAATAGTTGATCCAAACTGACCAAAGGGCTATTCCATACCATATGACGTCATGCTCAGTATATAAACTGGGGGGGGTTGGCTGGGGAGCAGCGATCGCTGCTGGGGAGCTGTCTGGGTATTGGTCGGCGGGTGGTGAGCAATTGCATTGTGCATCACTTGCTTTGTATATTATTATTGTTATTATCATTATTATATTGTTATTATTATCATTACTATTTTACTTTATTTCAATTATTAAACTGTTCTTATCTCAACCCAGGAGTGTATCTCACTCTTACTCCTCTGATTCTCTCCCCCATCCCATCGGGGTAGGGGGAGTGAGCAAGCAGCTGCGTGCTGCTTAGTTGCTGGCTGGGGCGAAACCACGACAGCATGTATGCTGTGAAATCAGGTTGTTCTTCACTTCAACAGAATTTTATCACTTGAGGAAGGGTGTTTTAGAGCCAGGACAGCATGCATGTGGTCTTTTGTTTTCTCTTTAAAACAGTTCAGGGGGAAAAAGAAAGGGAAAGTCCTTCTACCCTTTGCACTGCTCTTCATGGGTTATGGACATATATCCCTGCCCCACTCCCCCAGGCTGACTGGGAGGTACAAAGTGGCTCCCCTCATGCTCTTCACTTTTTATTCTTTGTATATGTCTTGGGTTTTTTCCCTTCCAAATCTATAACAACAGATACGTGAGCCTTGCTGAAGAGATGTTCTGCTTTGGAATTTGCGGGAAATCTAGAGCTTCAGAGGAAGAGGAAGCATTAAACTTGAATTATATACACAGTCACCTCCTTTACTGTTGAAGTTTAGCAGCAATCAGCAGCCACTGAGGAAGCTAATGTGGTGTGTTTAATCAGAAGACTATTTAATTACCGAGCCATGTGACTTGCTTTGAGTTGTGGTTTTACTAAATGTCTTTTATGTAAAACACTTAATTCCTCCCCATTTAAGCTGCGTAGGTTAAAACATCCTATTTCTGAAATTTTACAGAAGCGCTGATGTCCTGTGAGTGACAGAACATCATGTAGATAGCATCCTATCTTTAAAAGCGGGTAAACCTCTATAGTCTTTCCAAAGTACGTCGCATGTCTCTGAACTATCTGATTAGGCTTACCAGAGTTCTGTTCTTCTCTTGCAGGCATTATGCTGCTCGAAGTATTCCTGGTTCTGGGGACAGTCATCATCTACTTCTTACTTTCCAAGAAGAAAGAAGAGACGTTACCCTTCAAAGAGGGATGGTGGGGCAAGGGACAAAAGCCTGACACTGAAGAAGATACAACTGTTCGGCCATTTAAGGTGGAAACCACAGAAGAAGAGCTGAGTGTAAGCAAATCTCTATACTGGGGAGAGGGAAGTAAGAAATGGCCAAATAAATGCAGAACTTGTTTGGAAGTAGTTTTTAAATTGTTACATTTTTATGTAACATTTTAAATAGTTACATTTATGAGAATGAGCAATGATGTCCAGGACTTGGGGGAAGAGATTTTTCAGTACTTCAGAAGACAGGTATGGGTAGGCAGATTTCACATCCTGCTACAAAATTTTGTTCTCAGCTGGCTGTTGCAAGACTGCTAGTAAATAAACCTCCTCTGTAAAGCCTATTAAACATAAAAATCACATTACAGATTACTCAACTCTGTGTTCTGTTTGTGCACCTTCCTCAGTTTGATTGTGTAGACCAGAATAAGAACAATGTCTGGTTTTTGTTTTTTTTTTTTCCTTTCAAAAGCAATTATGAATATCTCATTTTCCTGACTGCTTTGTTTGCAGCTGTGTTGGACGCTGATTCTTCTGTAATTAACGATCTACTTTGGTCAACACTAATACCACAGTGGTAATTACAGTAAACACATACGTTGCAGAATTTGTTAGATAGCGAGATTTTGATTGTGTGTGTTTAAATCAGGGGTTGCACAATTTCATAGATCTGTGCATAGTAGTGGTTCAAACAGTACTTATGGAATCGCTTATTTTATTTGTTTGTAATGGATTCCTATTTTCTCAGTAAGGCCTGGGTTTTTTAATACTTTGCCCTTCTTAGTAATATCAGTGGACACTGATCTCCAATATGTTTTCCCCTTACACTGCAGACACAAAGCCAGATAATTTCTAACTTACAGATGTTTTTGAAACACGCAATTCTGTATTACGATAGCCATGGCAGCGTAATCCATTGGTAGAAAACTCTTTCTAAATATATTCTCACATAAACTAGGAGTTAAAGTTATGCTAGCGTACATTACTAAAACATTTTTAAAAGGTGTCAAGCATGGTCAAAAAGCATGTATGTAAAGACATTAGAAACTTCATTTAAAAATCCATGCTTTCTGCACACGAGTTAAATGCCAAAAACAGTGAGCTTACATACTAACATTTTGCCTAGACTGAGACTATCTGTTCAGTGTGAGGCATGAGCCAGTGCATACACCTAACTCATCTTCGTCAGAATGAGAGCTACCTGTATTGCTGTATTAGAAAATCCTGTTTGGGTTTAAACCCCACAGAGGTTTGAGCAGGATTAGATTTCTAGACCTACCTTCTACCCTCAACTATTCTGTGGTTCTGTTCGCAGTAGGAAGGGGCTCTTGGCTGTCCTTCCCTGCTGAGTGATTTTTGGACTGATTTTGCAGTATTGTCAGCATGCCCTATAACCCTGAAGTGCAGTAGGAAGGTCACTTTAATAGTTACTCTAGATTGGGAAACTTTCACTCCAGCCTAGTTTCACCAACTTTGTGGCCATGCAAAATCCCTCAGAGGGTTTCCCAGTGAAGACACCTAGCCCCTTGGTTTGGGAAGAAGAGCAAAAGGTTTGGGCCAGATCCATGCACTGATCGTGAGGCTGGGTTCACAGGTAACCTGGAGAGCAAAGTACTGTGGAAAGGCAACAAGAGTTACGCTGTGAAGCCACAGTGCTGTCGGAAGAGTGTATTGTCCTTTGTGGTTATCAGCCTGGCAAACAGGTTTGCCAGCCCTGCAAAACAAACATGAAAGAGTATTAAGAACAGCTGTAAATGGAAGAGGAAGAAGGCCATCTGGAGGAGAAAAAGAATTGGAACAGCTGATGGAGCATCAGCAAAACGCACAGGTGTCATCAGAGATGTTATTTTCATTGTTCTCATTTCACTTGGGAATAACTAGAAACCATGCACAGCAGAGCCCAAGATGGCAGACACAAGTGCCTGTAATGTCTCTTCTTTCTTTTTCTCTCTAGGACTTATTTAGGAGGCTTGACCAGGCTCGATTCACTGAGCCACTGGAGAACAGTTGCTTCCATTATGGGACTAACTCAGTGTATCTCAGGAAGGTTGTCTCCTACTGGAAAAACCAGTTCAACTGGAAGAAACAAGTTGAAGTCCTCAACAAATACCCACAATTCAAAACTAAGATTCAAGGTGTGTAGCTTTTTCTCTTGCAAAATAAACAAACAGTAATACATAATCTTGTCTACAAGGGATCTCGGTGGTAAGAATGCTATGGTTCTGTCGCGTGGGCCTTCCCTCCCTGGCTGCTGTGGTGTGGATCACTGGCATTGCTGCTGAAGCAGCGAGAAACTCCTTCATCGTAACTGAAGCCTTTAGGACAAGGAATGACAAATGGAATTCCTTTGTGCATGGATGGATTGTCAGCTGGTGTTAACAGGAGCCAAGCACAGGCATCTGGAAACAGAACTGGATCTTAAGATGTGCATGCGTTCCCTGACTTGCACGCAATCACGCAGAAGTACCCACAGATGCCTCCCCTTGCTCCATGTAGTTCCCCAGCTGCTGCTGTCAGGGTGATGCCATCAGTCTGGCAGCCCTCCTCAGCTGGGCGTGCTGGCTGCTCAGGTTGTCCCTGCTTGGCAGGGCAGATGCACTCTGCTGCACCATTTCAAGCATTCATAGGTCTGGGAATGCAGAATGCCTTTCCCTTGGGGTTGATGTGCTGCCAGGTGTGAATGAATGGTTTGTCTTTTCATTCAAAGCACAGGCACCTTTTGAAAGAGGCCATTCAGCTAAGGTCTGCTGGTGCTGGAGCTTGGTCAAACTGGACATTTTAAATGCTTGAATTAGGGTTGTGCTTGGGTCATTTGGGGGTGCAGTTGTAGATTTAGAGCACAGCAGGCAATTGTCTCACATGATGGCAAAATTCAAGCTTGAGATTGTGCTATTAAGTTTTTATATGCACCCATAATTGTACATTATTTCAAATGGGGCAGTTCACCGTTAATATTTAAAATGGGTTTGCGACAATAAACGGTTTTTAGTAGTGGTTAGAACATAAAGATTTCATTTAAGTGTATAAAACATGGTTAGTGCTGAAAAAGATAAAAGCAAAAAGTCTTCCCTTAAAAAAGAAAATAAAAAGATGTATCATCTGAGATAAGAAAGGGAAGAGAAGCTAAGGACAATGCACTATGTATAGCAATAGGAAGAGAAATTTCAACATTAGGAATGATTACAGAGATGAGCCATGAAAAGACAAGATCAAACATGCTGTATATCAGATTCCTAGCTTCTGTCATCACTTGAAAGTTTTTCAGAGAATACAGAAATCCACAGAATTGTTAAGGATGGGGAAATCTCAGTCAGTGAAATGGGGTGGGCTTGCTGGTGAGCTGGAGTTGATGTGAGCAAAAGGCGCTTAAATGCATCAAGAAGTGAGGCATCCAGGCTCTACTAAGAGCAAATTATTGTTTCCTGGAAAGCAAAGCCCTGAATGGGTTTGAGGAAAAGCAGTTCACCTGGAGTAAACTAGTGCAATGCTGTGTGAAGCCTACTGCTTACCTATTGTAAGGATCATAAAGGAAGTAGGACTGCGATTTTTACCTTTTTACTGAACAGCGAGGAGACTGGTACTAGAACAGAGTTTCCTGTTTTGGTTTACTCACTTAAAGAGATACTGAAACCTTTGGACAAAAGGTAGAAAAGAACTACAAAATTGAACACTTTAACTCTCTTTTAGCAAGGCACGTTTTCAAATACTTGATCCAGCACGATTGGTTTATCAGCAGTTAAGATGTGTGACTTGATTACAGGAGGCCTCCACAGACAGAGAATAGTTACTGAAGGCTTTTTAAATTCCTTTTGCTGTAACATTAGGATCAATGGCTGGAGACAGAAGCCAGACATGTTCAAATAGAAAGTCAGGCATGCACAAAACAAGGAAAGTGATTATCGCTCTCAAACAAACAGCTGCTAGTTATGACGGATTCCCTATCTGCTGATGCCTTCAAGTTGCAATTGCATGCCTTTCAGGAAGAAAAATCTGTGGTAGGCTGAAGCCTGTCTAGTGCCATTTAGGGACATTTGGGTAAAACTTAAGGGCACTCGGACTAAATGCTGTAATCATCTCTTCTGCCTTTAATCTGTGTGAGTCATTGTGTTACCGTTTAGTAGATTGCTTCACTTGTATGTCTTAATTTGCCAATTTATTTTAAAACAGAAATATGCCGACCTCATTTGGCTGCTGTGCTGCTTAATTGCCCGTTATGAAGTACTTTAAGGTCCTTGGATAAATGGATCCAGAGAAGTAGAGTGTGTTTGCATGCTCACCAAAAAAAAGACTTCAGAAAAGATTTATTCATAATCTGTTCTGTGATTAGTTTCAGTGTCATGGTAAATTTGGGCATGTTAATTCATTATTTTATTTTTACAGGCATTGATATCCATTTTGTTCACGTAAAGCCTCCTCGTTTGCCTGAAGGCCAGTCTGCAAAACCATTATTAATGGTTCATGGTTGGCCTGGCTCGTTTTACGAGTTTTACAAAATCATCCCTCTCCTGACGGATCCTGCCAGCCATGGCCTCAGTGATGAACACATTTTTGAAGTCATTTGCCCATCTATCCCTGGTTATGGTTTCTCAGAAGCACCCCACAAAAAAGGTATGATGTATGAGAAGAAACTGAACCGACACAAGCCTAGTCTTACGGTGAGATAGCCCCTATTAGCAGAACAGTAACTCCTGGCTCTTCTTGTTTTCCCAGTCTAGAAACAAAGATCCTGTGTGTCATGTGGGAAGAGGGAGATAAGAGGGTAACTTCAGGTGACACCGTTGATTAGTTTCAGGAGCAATATATCGATAATTTACAAAGGGCTATAAAAAGTTATGAAGCGACAACTCATGAATTGTAACTGAGTCAATGAATTGTGTGTGGGTGAGCAGGAAGAGTAAACTGAATTTGTTACTGTTCCTTTTGGGTGTTTCGAATCTATATTCAACAGCATTATACAGGTAGGTGAGAAGCAACAGCAAATCAATCCATCTATCTACATGGTAGATTGCAGCCAAATATCTGTTTATTCAGCTTGTGCTCTGAATTATACAAACACAAGCTGCAACAAATTGCGGTGAGGTAGTATTTAAAGTGATACTGAGTTTAGTGTTTAATTACGTGTGCAGGTGAATGATGGGCGGAAGGTTGGGTTTGCTTTTCTCTGCTTCCCTGGTTGTGATTTACATGGTCAGCATTTAGTGAAGAAGTGCATTACTAGTAGAAACTTAAGGTTTCCAACTATCATTAAGATGAGACTGTGCACACAGCAGACAAAATGGAAACACTGCCTGGGCAATGCTGAGTGCCTCTGAGAGGGCTCAGATGGAGTATGACTGCAGTTTAAAGGGAGTCTGGCAACCCCTCAGTCGGGCAAGTGTGTGGGCAGCTGGTGGGGTTAGGAGAACACTACTCTGCAGTGAAGGATGGATTTTCTCCTTATGGTTTCTGCTTGCTCTCTAGACCTTCCCTGGACAAGGGTTTCCACATAGTCTGTCAGACAGACAAGGAAAAATGGACTTGTAGCTTTTTAGGAACTTGAACATTGCCTTTATGGGGAGAATAAACACTGCACAGTCAGAAGTGGAGCTGGAATTAATGCAACAGTATTCTTTTTTTTTTTTTTTTTTTTAAATGCAGACTTTAATTCTGTAAGTGCCGCTTCTGTTTTTTATGAATTGATGCTCAGACTGGGATTCAATGAGTTCTACGCACAAGGTGGTGACTGGGGCTGGCTCATCTGCACCAACCTGGCCCAGATAGCTCCCAAGTGAGTACCTCTTTGGTACAGTGCTGTATGATTGGCATGCAAAGCTGTTTTATTCTTTAAATAGTTATTACTTGTGCACTGGAGAGTTCCTGTCCAAGTCCTCATCTGAGCACTCTGCAGTTTCTCTCTACAGTGCCCAGTGTTAAGCAGTGATCCAGAATTACATACCTTAGTTTATAGTGTATACCTGTTCTTTCAAACAGCCATGCAGTAGTTTTGTAATGGCCCCACTGGGGTCTGGAATGGGATAAGTACTTGTAAAAAAAGAGGATTTGTGGCTCAGTGTCCAGGAGTGTGTGCTGGTTACTGACAGTTGCCCCTTTGACTTGTCATTTTTGTGTGAAAAGCCACACTACAAAGTACAGCTAAGGTCATTATATAATTAGCAGGTCAGAATTTACGTACATCCGTGTTTGTTAATAACATTTTAAATGTCACAACTTTGAATCACACTTCATTTTTGTTAATTTGTGGGGGCTTTTTCTGTTTTTATTTTTAGCCATATGAAAGGTCTCCATTTAAATCTAGTCTCAGTTACAAACATGGGATTCACTCACCTGCTCTCCTTTCTGCTGGGCCGCTATCTTCCAGGGCTCTTCGGTTTCCAGGATGAAGATGTTAGGCGGATGTTTCCCTTCTTGAAAAAAATGCTCTACAGGATCTTGTTGGAGTCTGGCTACGCTCACATGCAGGCTACAAAGCCTGATACTGTTGGTAAAACAAACAAAAAACCCTTCTGAGCTCAGAATACTTCGTCTGTTCATTTTAGTTGTACTTTCATAGAAACAAAATGTACTGCTTAAAATATGCAGAGAATCAGGTTTTTTTCAGGGAAATTGAAGTAGGAAGGCTAGACGTTTTAAAAGGTGGGATCCTTTTCTGTATCCAAGTCAGAAAAGGTTACATATGGGTATATAGTATTACACTTACCTTTGCATGCGGAAGCGGTAAATCTGCACATCAAAACTGAGCATGCTCTAAGTGCCACTGACCTCATTTTCAGTTTTCATACATAAAATAGTTTATTTAATACTTTTCCACTTCTGCTATCGCTGGGGACTGTAATGCTATTTCAAATGCAGCTATGCTGAGAGCAAAAGATAGTTTATTCACAGAGAATGGATCACATTCAAATGATGTAAACTACAAGAAGCTTTTAGCTGTCTCAGCACACAATGTAGCTTATTTATAGGGATAAGTAATACCTGAAAAATAAAATCAAATTTAGTTCTCACTCATTGTTCTGAATCACTTGCAGACTTTCAAGGGGAAAAAAAAAAGTGTACCTATGAATGTTGTTTCTAGATGACCTAGCCGCTCAGATTGCTTAACTGCTTTAAGTATCTGAGTATTAAGTGTTTCTTTTTTAAAAACATCTTTTGCAACTGAATTGGACAACTGAGTGAAGAATACTGAATATATCTTAGTTTAGTGCAGCAGCAATTCATTTGTGGATTTTATTAAAAACATAGCCAAGGAATCTGTTTTGCAATGGTTTTCCATAAGCTTACCTACAGAAGTAGGTATATTCTTAAAATGTGTAGGCAAAATGATAATTTTATGGATTTTAAATAATTTTGCTTCCTTTGAGTTTTGGTTTCTAAAAATTACTAGTCTCTAATTCCTTTTGTGCTTTAAGAAAAAATGAGGAAGCTGGTAGCTGAAAGATGCCTAGTCATGCTCCTCCTGCTGCGGTTTTCTGGCTGATTCTTGTCCCCACCAGTAACGTGGTCTGTCAGAGCGGACTGCGCAGACTGGGAACCAGCAGCAAGTTCATGTTTTGGGAGCTGGAGGATTCCTGCAATTTTGAGGACAAAGAAGAGAGAAGCATGGCAGGTGGCAGGTTCCCACAGGGACAAAGAAACTCTGAAGAAGGGAGCGTAAGGTAGCTGGAAGAAGCACAGCCGAGGAGGCTACCACAGTCCTCCTGAGACTTCTGGTCGTACAGGGCTACCTTGTGAGCTGTCCTAAGCAAGGAAGTTGTCTGTGGCTCTTGATATATACTGTGCTTGCTAATACTGTACTCTTGATTGCTTCAGAGCTGGCTTTTGATCAAAGTGGCTTGCATGGATTTGATTTTACGCTTATTCTCTGGGAAACCTGCATGGAGCGTGGGTTCATTTTCAGCTGACTGAAATAAGAAGCGCCTGTATTCAAAGTACTGTTAGGATTGATGTCAATTTTTCCTGTATGTAAACTGATGCACTCTTTGTTCACAGTAAGTATATGAGAACAGGCTATTGCTTGTCTAGTTCTGCAGAACTGGAAAGCATGCTCAATATAACTTTTTCAAGCACTTGGTATTTCAGTTATCAGTGCTTGTTGTTTGATAACTGAAACTCAACTATCATGTTTAAATAGCAATTACTGATGAAATTGTGCTAGCTGTAGTGCTAGGCATCTTTCAGGAAGGTTGGGTTGCATGGGTGGAACTTCAAATAGATCGCTGTTCCTCAGGAAAAGCTTTTTCTAAGGTTTTTCTGAGCAGCTGGGACAGTTTATAGTTCTTGTATTTCACAGCACTAGGAGGTATTAGCAAAGTTCCAGGTGCAGGCGTGGTTTTTTCTGTCCAAGCAAAACAAACTATAAAAAGTATATTAAGCCTCATTCTACATGAAGGCAGTTGGCTATTGCTAGTTCAGAAGATGGACCTTTTAGTAAAGCCTTGCTCTTCCTTAATGACTTTCTAATAAATCCTTAAAATGTTTTTGCTGTTAGATAATGGTGCAAATTCTCCTGGTCATGTGTAGGCATGTGGCGTTTGGCCCTGTAATGCTGTTTAATACATGACAACTTCCACATTAATGGAAGCAAACCCTACTTGGCACATAGAGCTTAATCTTATTAGCTTACAAGAAGAAAAAAAAAAAAAAGCCAGCAGAAATCCAATACTGTTACATCAGGTCAAAAAACATACAGTGTGAGCTAATGCAGAGCCTGTTGGTTTGCAGATACTATCAGTTTATGATTCAACAATAAATGGCTCCAACTTGTTCTACTACTTTATTTATTTATTTGAGAACACAGCTGCTGGAACAGCTTAGTAAAGTTATCTACCCTGTATTATAATGGGCTGCTTCTATAACAGTCTGAGTTCAGTAGTCGGATATCGCAATTGTAGTTAAATTTTCCTCCTCCTTTTCAGGCTGTGGTTTGAATGACTCTCCTGTAGGACTGGCCGCATACATCTTGGAGAAGTTTTCTACATGGACTGATATAGAATTCCATAATTTAGAGGATGGAGGAATAGAGAGGTAAGTGTTTCTTCTTACGCCATTTTGGATGAGGTGACTAAGCCCAGAGTCACAGCTAAAGAAGTTTGTCTGAATTGACTGCCTCACATCTCATAGGGAGCCTGTAGTGACCACAGATGGTGCACTGCTGTACTCCAGCATGCAACGAAGCAAACGGGCTGTGAAGGCTGATGTTCCCTTCCCACTTTGATCTAGAAAAGAGATACACCCTGCAGCTTCTGGGGATTAAAAACTGACTTAGGTGGACAAATCTCATTAGGACAGAAAACAGAAGTTTAACCTTCATTAAGATGCTGGGATACAGAACTCATGATTCATTTTAATACTAAATACTTAACTCTATGAATTTGCTTTAAATTGATCAGTGTTGCTTCATCTATCTACCACTTGCTAATAAAGGATCATTCTTAGTGTGCAGCAGAAATCTGAGATGAAGTCCCCTTTGAAAATTGCTGAGACACCGGACAGGAGTGGAGCAAAGGGGCATGTTATAAAAAGGTCCAGTGACAATGGATTTGAATAGAATGTTTGCACTGCATACAGCTAATAATTTGACATGAAATATGCACTGTAAACAGCACGTGTTCGTGTGATGGCTCTATTGAAGGCTCGTGGTGGCATTTCAAATTATGAACACTAAATGGCACAAGCTGTTCCGTGCCCTCTTCTGCTCCTACCCTCCCAGTCTATGGACAGTATAGAGAGCTGTGCTGGAGCATAAGGTGCTTGTTAGAGTCTGTCTTCTGTGTAGAAGTTTAAAAGTCACTTCCAGTTTGTGTCTGAAAGCCTTTAACATGCTTAATTGGTCACTGACAGACAGAGGGGGAGTAACTCACTTCACCTTTTAACTCTTTTCTTAACCAAGTGAACTATTTTTTCCTGTAACTTTTTTTTCTTAAAACCAAACCATAGTCAAGTCCCTGCTAAAGTAATGCAAAATGGTATTCAGTTCTAACTAAGCAATCTCTGGGCTTACCTATTCAGGAAGTTTAACCTGGATGATCTGCTCACCAATATCATGATCTACTGGGTGTCAGGCTGTATAGTCTCCTCTATGCGTTTCTACAAAGAAAATTTGCAGAAGGGGATAGGCACACAAAAACATGAAAGGTAAGTGGGTTTTTTTATTTCAGTATTGTGCCCTAAACTTAATTTTATGGCTGCAGACAGGTTGCTGATGTCTGATGGCTGCTGCAAGTTTCTGAATGTTGAGGAAAATCAACGCTGTATCACAGTGTTCCTTCCTCTGCAAGACAGGTCTGTTAGTTGATGTACTGTGGAGCGCTTGGAAAACACAGTAATCGGGTAAGAATCGTGAACCCTCTGTAAGGACATCTGACTGGAGGCACTGCTTGAGGACCTCCCGTTCATGGTGTACGCAACTAGGGAAAAGCTCATGCAAGTACTTCCAAATTTTACTTTAGTTATTGAATTAGCCTGTGACTGAGTCATGCAGTCAGTTTTGTTTATAGTTGATTTGTTTTGTAGTTCTGGTACTTTTCTGGAGCCAGTTTGCCCACTTCTGCAAAAGATTTAAGTCCTACCTTTGGAAACAACTTCAGTATACTGACAAACTGCATAATTTGAAAGTCATTAAGACTGCTGTTCCTGCTGTGCAGACACTTAAGACAGCAGCTTCATTGCGTATACTTGTGTCAGCTTGAGTATTAGCGAAGGCTTAAACCTGCCCTGAGGTGTTCACAATCACAGCTCACTGCCATGGTATTTATTTAGCTGTGAAATGATGCTCCCAGGAAGCTGACTCTGTTCTTGAAGCTGTTGTGGCTACACTGTGGGCAGTATCCTGCTCCAGTTCTGCCTACATGAGATGAGCTATATGAGCTTCTGTGTGCCTAGAAGAAGGAGTCTCAAAGACCTATGTAAAATTAGGCACCCTGTTTTCAGGCTTCCAGTGGTTATGTGCCTGATAATTTTTGTATCTGAATTTTAAAGCCTGCCACTTCTGACAATGCAGCTATGTGTATGGGATATTTAAACCTAGAAAATGTTGCTCTGTTTATAACAAGTGTGGATCGTTACACTTTGTAAGGTGGTCTTCCCCTCAAATCCAGTTGCTTCCTTACACTTGCTAATGTGCAAAGCGTTCTGTAGAGTGCATTTGTGCCAGTTAAAAGCCAGAGCTACTTTACAGGGTACAGTCTCACATTCAGAAATGTTTCCTCTGAACTATTCTAGATTTACCCTCTATTATTCCTCGCCTCTCCTCCCCCATTGCAGCAGTTCAAGATAATTCTTCCCCTGCCTACCCTCCAGTTGTCCTGCCAGGCTTAACATGTTCTAGCTGTAATCTTCACTGTAAATCTCTCCAGCCCTTGTCAGACTATGTGCTTTCCCCTCACTACATGACTCTTGAGCCCTGAATGCAGCATGAGGAAACTTGATACCCACCACCTCCTAGGGCTCTCTTCTCAATTTCCTTGCTTCTAACTCTCATGCCCTGGCTCCCTTGCAAAATTGCCTTAATATCAGTGTATGCAAAAAAACTCCCCCCCCCCCCCCCCCCCCCACCCACCTGCCACAGATCCCCTGCCCCCCACCCTTGGAAGTCAAATTTTAATTGCCTAACAACAGTGTGCCCAACTGTTTAAGAACAACATTTCCTTGGGACCTTCCATTTCTTGTCAAGTATTTGAAAGACTAAAATTATTCTCCCTCCTCTTGCAGGCTTACAGTACAAGTACCTACTGGCATTGCCTCCTTCCCTAATGAAGTCATGCACACACCCCAGGCTTGGGCCCAGAAGAAATACACCAACATAGTTTCCTTCCATTTCATGCCTCGAGGTGGCCACTTTGCAGCTTTGGAGGAACCTGAACTTCTTGCTGAAGATATCCTGCAATTTGTTGGGAAAGTAGAGAAAGAGCAACTTTGGAGAAAGAAAGGAGAATGACTCTCCTCACAAACAGCAGGGTAATTGCTTATAGCTTAGCACATGTACAGGCCTTACTAAGCCTACTGTAATCCATGTAATTAGATCTTATTCTTGACCAGATGTGAGGGAGGACAGCAAGAAAAATGCAGTATATCTCAACGAGATACTGCTGGGGGGGGCCTGCTGATTTTGGATTGGGATTTTTTGTTCAGCTAGGCTAAGAAAGTAGCATGAAGATTACTTGGTTATCTTCTCTTCCAGGCACGGACTTCTAAAATCTGTTCTGTAGTATTCCTGACTCTTGCTTTGAAACTGAAAAACTAGTAACAGTTTAATTATTATGAAAGGCTTTTTTTTTCATGGCAGCAGCAAAACTTGAGTTGGTGTAGGTGTGAGGTTCCCCACATAAACAATGGGGAACAGCCTAGCAAGACCTAACTTGCATCAGTGTATTGGTTAATCAGCATTGATGATCTACAGTACCTTTAAACTAGCCAGCTGGCTACTGCTGGCTGCCTTTCTCTTCCAGCCTGGGCTGTTAAGCAGCTTCCTGGCTGTGAGGAAGCTCAGCTCCCCTGCGCCAGGCTCCTGCGACAGCAATGTGTGAGGAGCAGCTGAAACACACAAGGTGCCTGTGGCTTGGGCCAGAAGGAGGGGTTGGGTCGGAGTAATCACAGCCCAAGCTACCTCTGCACTGAATTTGTACTCTTAACTAAAATCATAGCCCTGGATAGGCTCAAGACAGTGTGGCTTTGCACTGCTTCTGCAGGGTATTGTAAATACCTCTTACTAAATAATAAAATTTCATTAATTCAATTGCATTAAAATTTTAAATACATGTGTGTTTCTTTTAAATTTTTTTAATAACTGAGATTTTGCTTGGTCACAGCAAAGAGAAGCGTCAATTCAGAACCTATCGAGTCTGTACTGCATCTGTTAAAAAGGTCAGATTGAAGGCAAACTGCTCAAAGAAAATTGAATTTGAAGGGCTGTATGTTTTTGCCAGCAACAGTCCCTAGTGTGTGTGCAGTTGAGCTTCAAACACTCTTAGACTCTATCCAGATGACTGATTTCAGCATGGTTTTGTTCTCCAGTCGCTTCTGATATACTTCCCTACCCCTGCAAGCACAGAGAAATGTAATCCACCAATAACACATGCATGGATCAGTATTATTTCACAACATGAAGTGAAATGGAAGCTGTTAAATAACAGTCACTCCAGCAGAGCCCTGCTCCATCCCACAGGGCTTTAGACTCAAGAACACCAACTAGTTTGTTTCACAGAAGGCAAGTCAACGCTTCTGCTGGGTACATTTGAATCTTAGCGCTCAAAGCCACCTGATAACGCCATGACAGAAAATCATTAGGGCAGAGTAGCTGTGAAACAGCTTGGATCAGTTTTCTGAGCAGAGATGAGACCTCTTGCTACCTGTCCTCTGCCTTCTGTGCTTCTGCACCTGGGTGCCAGCAGAGGCAGGCACAGTAGCTCGCAGCTCTCCCTGTAAGGTTGAACTGCAGTGCTGCCTTAGACCTTCAAGCTGTACCTGAATTCTTTAAGTCAGCTAACTGCTTCCAGATTAGTAGTGAGCGCTAGTTCTACGTTTACTTGTAAATGCTTTCAGTAGTCAAAAAATTGTGTTCTCATTTGCAAAATACTGTGTGGTTCAGACCAGCGTGTTTTGAATAGACAGGAAGAAAATACAGAATCATTCACTTAGTCTAAAATAGCCTCTTCTCAAAGACGACCATCCCCAAACTTGTTTCAGGTTCAGTGTATTACAAAAGGTTGCTTATTCAGGAGGAATCAGCTCGCCTCTTCAATAACAGCTTTTTACAGGCACCGCTGTGCTCCCTCTTGCACAAGTCTTGATCTCTGGCCATTTGTTTTTGCCTTCCTTCTGTCCCCTGTGTGGCCTTACATTTCCGAGCTGGAGATCATCCTCTCTCATCTTTAATGCACATGCAGACATCTGCTGTGGTGCTAGGGAGCACTGCCATATACTGCTATAACTGAATACTTCCCCAGGGATTGCTCAGTCACAACGCAGATAAAGTAAGCGGGAAGGAAGTTTGCTATACGATACCTGCCAAACCGATTTTCAGATGCGTGTAGAAGGCTTGAAGCGTTTTCTCTCTCTCCCTTCTGGAGCAGATCTGCTTGAAGGGGCCCAGCCTCGATGAAAGGAGGCACATCAGGACTCTGTTAGCGATCTTACGTTACAGCAGCTCATCCCGGCTCAGTCACCAGTGAGAGCTGGACAAAAACACAACCGCCTGTAGAACCTTTCTGTCTTTAAATATGCCTGACAGTTCTCAGCCATCTGAAAAAATGATAATGAACACAGGCAGGAAGCAAGCACATCCTTGCCCTGCTCTGTACACCAAGTAAGTGCACTTCAGCCTACTACAAACGCAATCTGTCCACACTGTCAGTTTTACTTAGTATAGAAGATAGGCACCGAGACACTAAATCCAGCACAAAAATGGGTTTGATTAGCTACTGCCTGAAAGAGGAAAAAAATCTGGACATAAAAGGTGCAGACTTTAGAAGCTTAGAAATTATAATTAAATGCCTGTTATATAGCAAAGGTTATTCTGAATTCCAATGTCACACTTCTCAAACCTTAAGGCCACAGCTATCAGCAGCTGTTGGTCATCACCTACTCATCTACACTTAGATACAAACATTCAGTGAAATACTATGACAACATGAAAGAATATAAAACTCAGCTATGTGCCAGCTGCAAAGCCTCCCATCAATTCCCCTCCCCTTTTTCAAAATAATAATTTGTTTTTAGCAAAGCGCAGCCACTCCTACTGCCTGCAGTGCATGGTTTAATACTAATGAAGCGTTTGTGGGCTAGCGACAGTCTCTGCATCTCCTCCTGCAGGGAGCAACTCTCCCACGAGCCTGAGATTCGGGTTTGATAACTGCCTTCAGTGAATCCAGGCTCCTTTCCGATACACTCTGCTATTGGCTAATGGGCAATTTGGTACGGTACTACAGTCAGCAGTGCAAAAGTCAGTCAGATAATCAGACATAGTTTTAACATTTCTGTTAACAAGCAAATGCGCATCAGATTATTGCAATAGCAATAAGCAGTAAGAAAGGACTCCCTGCTCTGTTATACTTGTTCTTATTTAAGTGAGCCAGCTGAGTACCTGCTGTTCAGACAGTAAGTTTCCTCTAACAAGGCCAAATGTGCTGCTGTTGGGCTGGCTGAGCTGTTTCTTGGGGATAAGGCTCTTTGAAATAGTAGCTATGGTCTTCAGGAGAACCCAGAATCCGGTGACACTTTGATGCTCAAAACATTTTGTTTTGCTCCAGAGCCATTTCTTGGTGAAGCTTCCATTTCTGGACCAAAATTGCCCCAAAGTCTCTGCTCAAAGAAACTGCTGTCCTAAAAGCCATTCCTCCTTAAGTTGCTCCAAAACACGCATTTATCCCACACGGAAACCAGAAGTAGCTGACCTAAACCCTGCTTTTTAATTAGCTGGTTACAGCCCATGAAGCTCTGGATAAGAGGTTCAGAACCATGGAGATGCCACTGAAAATAAACAGAACTTACCCTCTGCCCCCCCAGCTGAAGTGCTTTGGAAAGCATTTGCTTCTGGTATGGAAAAAACACGAGTAAGGTCATCATCTTCTCATACAGCTCCAGCTAAACTAACTCCCACTACAACCAAATTTGACTTCTGATTTTAAACTACAAACCATAAAGCCCTGAAAAATCCAAGCTGCTGTATGCAGCCTTTGGACATCTTACACAAATAAGACAAGACTTCATGTACATGAACCAAAAATGTCAGGCATTACTCGCATTATGAATGAAAACCAAATATGAATAGAAATCACACTTTCATACAGAAAGGGAGGTTAAACCATCATTTAGTGAAAAGTAGAATGTGTTAAGTCTAGCATCACCAATAGCTCTGGATCCATAAGGGGCGCTATTCATCACCACTGAGTCAGCAAGAATTGCCTGTGGGCAGGGATTGATCGGTTCGAGACGGTCAATCACAGGTACATTGTGTTTTACAGCAGGTGCAATACATAATATGCATTAAATGAAGATACATTTTTATCTGAAAGAGGAATGGAAAGATCCTTCTGGACACTGTGGGAAGAGACAAGGAATAAATCCATATTGATTTCAGGGTAGCTTATTTTAAAACACTGAGAAATGGTGCCACTTGTTTTACTTGCTGTAATAGCACTTTAAGGAACATAACTCACACTAAAACCGTCTTGCTTAGGATCAGTTTTCTTTCATGGAAGAAATATCCTGTGCAGTGCCAGACAGCCCTGATGGTGTTATGCCAATGCGGCTAGAAGAATTAGCCCCATTACAATTGTCAGTTGTCTTCTGGAGAGCGGTATTTATAAACAGATCTGCGCTGAGTGACAGCTCTTTCCCCTTGCTAGATGTAGTCCAAACTTCAGTCTTCAAAATACCTTCCTGATTGGATTTTAAGACTTTAAGAAGGACGCTCATGCTCTCCCTGTGTTTAATAACTGAATGTCTGCAGCTTTGAGGATAGGACGAACGACAGATGAAATTTAAGCGATGAGTTTCCATCTTCTTAAATGAAAGATAATCCCCCTTTGCAGCCATCGTTCAAACCACTGCAGACGATCAGTGCAGAGGGAGCGCAGTACAGAGAAAAGGTGAACGGAAACACGAGCAGACAAAGCTACGCTCAGCCGCCCAGCTGCCGGGTCAAAGGTACCAACGTGACAACTGCACGCGAAGACTGACTCACGACTGTTTCAACAGCACAAAAAGAGGTGCAAGGAGGGAAACCGACGGCTTCACCTTGCCTGTGCGGCCTGCCCCGGCAGCTGCAAGGGGCCCGGCGTCCTGCTCGCAAGGCCTCCAGGGCTGAGCAAGGGGCTCTGGCTGTGTCAGCAGCCCAGCTGTCTGCCCCTCGCAGCTGCAGCCTGCTTGGGGCCCAGGGAGCGCCAGGCCCTGGAGGCAGGTGAAAAAAGAAACCCCCCGCGCAGCTCTGAAATTCCTCCCAGCCCCTGACTTGCCCCCTACTTGTATCCACTCCACGTCCAATGCAAAACCGACTTTTGCCTGTCCCGCTGATACCGGCTTCCCGGTAAATATGCCATCCTTCTTAACAGGATCCACCTAC